AAAAAAAAGAGTGCATTCTAAACTTATCTGGACCCAAATAGTTCTGCACAGTCTGGTCCCTGATGCCTGTGCAGCCACATCTTGTACTTTCTAGACTCTAGCCCTTTCCATGCCCCAGGAAGGAATATGGTCTAGCCTATTCCGTATTGTCCTGCAAGCTTGTTAAGCTCTTCACCTCCCACACCCAGGACTTTTGTCCTTGCTTTTCTCTGAGCCTGGAATGGTCTCCTCAGAATCTTAGCATGGCCTGCTTATCATCTTTCTGTCCCATTTCAAACATCTTGCATGAGCTCACCAAAGGCTTCCCTAATCATATCTTACCCAAAAGTAGTCATTTCTTTTCACTTATATGTTATCTTTGCAACATGAGATGCTCTTATATATTTGTTTACTGCTGCTTTTTCCTGTGCCTCCTCACTCAGAGATGATGGGAAAGAACATTGTTTTTTTCACCCACAATATCCCAGTGCCTGGCACATAATAGATACCTTATAAATATTTGTTGAATGAATAAATTAGTATGTTTACATTTGAATACTCATGCCAATTGATGACATATGACTTACCTTATGTAAAAGAAATATGATAGGCATATATTTTAATTTATAAATGTATCTCCATGATTCAGAGTTATTATTAATGCTTCTCAACACTTTAACTGTTTCATTTCCATGTGTTCTTCTATTAGCTAAATATTACCTATCAGTAGTTTTGGATGTTTCTTTTTATTTGGAGTCTGTAGGGGTATTTCTTCTTAACTATGCACTTTCCATTTATCATTGCATACTTTCTCAGCATAAAGATACCTGCTGGAAAGAATCTCCTTCAGTTACTAAAAATAGCCAAAATCTTTACCAGTAATCGTGAAATAATAATACAAGGAGAGGGAATTAATCTTCTTTATTTCATGTGTCTGAAAATATGTACCATGAACCCTTATGGTATATTTATACCTGTATTATCAGTAATAATAATAATAAATATTATTGTGGTTGCAGGTACAGATCCAAGTGAGAAATAGCAAAGCTTCTTTCGACAAGTTAAAGATGGATGTTTGTCAGAAAGTGGATTTACTTGGAGCTAGTCGCTGCAATATGTTATCTCATTCACTCACTACCTACCAGGTACCCACCTCCATGGTCAGCATGTCCTTGCAGTAAACGATGAGTGGTGAGGTTCCTTTTTAAAAGTTGTCTAACGGATATAAAAAATTGCATAATTAATCAAATTCCTTTGACTTTGAAAATTGACCTACTGAGGTTATGACAGAGAATCATAGAATTCTAAATTGAAAAAGACCTTAGGGATTGCCTACTCCTGTATCTTCACATTATTCCCCTTGGGGTCCTAGGAGAGATTTAGGGGCCATCTAGGTTTGAGTGGAAGTGTTGAGGCAGGGTTCACAGCCCATTAACCCTGGTTCCCCAGAGCTACTCCATTTTGAACTTCTACATACAGTTTCATTTGAAGCAAAGATGCTGGGGCCCAAAAGTGTAAAACTTTCCTGTCATAGCTGAGGAAAGTGAAACCCTATGAGAATTAAAGTAAACGGCAATGTTGGCCTTGAAAACCTGTGTTCTCTTGCTAGGCCGTGCGTTCTTTTCATTCTGCACTTTCATATCAGCAGTCTCTCACTTGTGCTTCTGTTACCCCAGATCACACATAAATGGCACACAGTGAATAAGTCAGATGTTAATTAGTAGCAGGTACTGATATTAACTTCTATTTTTAAATGGCAAAATAGAATGAACTGTATTTACTTAAGAATAATAAACTAAAGGGAATGGACATTCACTGCTGCTTGTAGGAAATCTTCCTGATTCAGTGCAGTACTGTGGATGGAATTCAGTAGTAAAGAAAGGATGCACTTGAAAATAAAAGTATCTGGCAATGTAGCATATGCCTGAAAAGCAACAGCTGTAAGTTCAGTTCTCCTTTATTCTCTCTGCTCAGCCCTCTCACTTTGAATAGGAACTCTGAAGCAGCAAGGAAAATGTCCAGTTACTTGAATTAGCTGAAGAACACTTTTTTTTTTTTTCGGTGAGTCTCTTGAGCCCTCAATGAAAGACTAGTTTAGTGGTGCATATTATTTTTCTCCAATTAATAAAGGCTTATATGTGCTTACCAACACAAAGATTTATACATATACCCTTAATACAGATACGGTCTTTTGTGCTTTTAACATTTCTCTTTTGGACTCTTCCAAAGGTGTTCTAATCCACTAGTGTTACTCTCCAGCTGATTCCAGTGTACTTTTCAGTGCTGTATACAGATAGGTGTGTGTGTGTGTATGTGTGTGTATGCCGATACAGTTGCAAGTTCTTGTGCAGAATTACTATTTATATTGCTTTCTTGTTCCTGAAACTTGGAAGTTGATTTTACTTCCTACTGCTTGTTATTCAGCAACCATTCATCTACTACACTAGTGAGGAAAAATAGCAGTGAAAAAAATCGTAACTGTAGTGACAACCTTTCTTTTTCTGCAGAGGACGCTGCTTGGATTCTGGGAGAAAACAGCTCAATTGATGTCCCAGATCCATGGGGCCAGTACTGGCTTTCATCTATATGATTTTGTAGCTCTCAAGGTACATTTGTTTCCAAGTTCCTTTGTTAGATATATTATACTTCATTTAGATAACACTGAAACTGTTTTGTGCCAAGCCTAATTTTGAATTTACAAAACATGGGAAACATTTTTCTACACTCCTTCAGCCAGTTATTTTTCTGCACTTCCCTGGTTCCAAGTGCTACCAGAAACACTAAACAAATACATGAGAATATTGCTTGTGGGCTCAAGATATTGGGGTGGGGAGAAAAAGAGGGAGCAAGAGAAAAGAAAATCAAAGTGTAAACGAGATAAGAAAAAGCCAAGGAAAAGAAAAACTTAAGAGGAACAAGTGATGGAAAATGGTTGTTGGTTTTCAAAAACAACCAGAGTACCTACCCAACAATTTTAGAAGTTAAAGAAAAATTTCCTTGCTTTACTTTTACACTCATGTCATAGATGTGATTCATGATGCAAAAATAATGGGTGACTGCAGCTGAAGAGACTACTGTATTATATTAGATCAGCTCTTTCTGTAATACCTACATGTAAAAGGTACTCTTGGGCTTTGATTATAATGCTTTTAACATTTGTATATCTTTCTGTCAACCTTTGCATATGACTTATCCAGCAGAGTCACACTATGGTAACAATTTCTTTAATTCTGGTAGGTTGGGTTTCAGTGCCTTTGACCTTATCACTCTGTCTTGTTTTCAATAGAGCTTGAAAATGTTATTGTTGAGATTGCTCAAGCTAGATGTAGTATCTATGATGGATTGATCTCTTGCAGCTGTATATTCCTGGGGCTTGGTATAGATATTTAAGTCATGTTCTGACATAGCATCTTCCAGTCTAATAGATACCCTTGAATTAGTCGTTATGTTTTTGTTGTGTGTGTGTTTTTTTTCTTTACTTTTTCTATATTAATGCTTCACTGGATAGCACACTATGTTTTTAGGCAAATTTAACATGTAATTCCTGTTCAGATGAAGTTGAAAATCTTCAGCTGTATTTAGAGCATTTCAGTAGAAGTTAGTAACACAGTGTAAGTCTTTGGCATACCACAAACTTGTGAAGCTTGTTGCTAGCCCATGTTATAGTCTGTGTGATTGTCATTGGTAGCCAGGATAAAAGGGGACCCAGGGCCCAGGTCAAATTGCATTATCATACATTTCCCATATCTCTCACTCTCTACTTCAGAACTATCCCTGTTTTATGTTGTTCTTTAGAATTTTTATTCTCATCTCATTTGCACAAAGAGAGAAACAGATTCCGTCTACTTAACATTGAATTTCTTATCCTTAGCAACTACAAGACACTCCAAGCAAGCTTACAGAAGACCACAAAGAAGAACAAATAGACAACAGTTCTCTCACTGAAAACCTCAATAAGTAAGCAGGCAGAAGTATGGGGTTATGGAAGTCCTAGATACTGTTATATTATATATTTGGAAAGAGTTATTTCTTTTCCAATTTAGTGAATATTTTCTATGTCATTTTTCCAGTTAATATTTTTAAAGTTTTTTTTTTTTATAAGTAAGCTCTGCACCCAATGTGGGGCTTGACCTCATGACCCTGATATCAAGAATTGGGTGCTTTACCCACTAAGCCTGCCAGGCACCCCATTTTCCAATTAATATTAAACATTTGTTTTAAAGCCTTATCTACCCCCTCCCCATTTTTAACATGGTAGGCAAAGTTGATGATAGGAGTACAGAACAGATTAGGGTGATAACTCCAAATTCTGTATTTGGGGAGACTGAGGTTTTTATTAAGAACCTCTGCCTAGTGAAACCCAGAAGGGGCAACTTGAAACAGAAAGGGACAGGTACCAGCAGCTATGAAACAGAAGCTATTGAAAATCTGTCTCCAAAGCAACACAAATGGGACTGGGTCTGGTTACCTGGAAATGGGGGCTCTTGCTGTGCACATCCATCATTTTGCCTATTTCCCTTTTATTACATCTTACCTTTGTTTACTTCTCATTTTAAGTAGATTGCACTGAGTATAATAACAAACCCAGAAATAAGACCAGAACAGTGACAAACCGTATATTGTTGAGGGGAAGGTGATCCAGAATATAAGCATTTCCTTCTTTTCTTTATGGGGAAATCCAAACAAATTTTTTTGCCTAATTTGAATATATAAACAATTTAGGATGTAGATTAAATAAATATCAAATGTATAGTTATAGATTAAACTTATTACTTATACACTGATATTTAAAATCATGTTACATTAAATATATTAATTTAGTAAACTTTTTCCATTATCACATTTCATGAAAGTTTTATTCACAATCCTCTCATGCATATTCACCATTCTGAAAGCTTCCTTTTGAGTTAACAGATTCCAAAGCTTTTTACCTTATCTTCCATCCAAGTTATTTAAAGAATCATGCACATATACGGTCATTGGAAATTTTGTTCCAAGTCATTAGTATATATTTGGTCTATTTGTCTGTGTGTTTTTTTGCAAATAAATACCATATAGGTTTCCCTTGCTATCTGAGAGTGTTCCAATGAAACTTTTCATAAGCCAATACAGTGTGAGACAAAGAAGCAATTACCATTAATTCTTTGTGGAAAATATTTTGAGTATTCTTAGATCCAAAAAATAACCTTTCTTAGGCTTATCTGACACCCTAGGGCACATCTTGCTAAGGTATACCCAAAATAAATGGAGATGAAGCACAGATGCACACACAGTTTGTAGTGGCTTAATACTGAGATGCTGAGTGTAGTTCCCAGGGAAGGAGCTTGGTGGTGCTACTGTTGCTGCTCAGGGTGCACACTGCCTCTGTGAGGGCTCCCTGCAGAATAAACACTTAATGCTATTTTTGCTTTTTGCCTTTTTTGTAAAAGTGAAAATCCTCTTCGAACTTCTTTCAGTTAGCAAAGACAGGTGCTAACGTAGGTCTTCCAAAGAAGCATAACTCAAACTTCTAAAAAGCAGGGGATACCTGTAATGATTTTTAAGGATCTTTAAGGATTTATTAAAAACAACCTTCAATACTAGAATTGTGAGGTTACACCCCAGGAATAATGCCTAAATCTATGTTCAATTTCTTTGTCTAATTTTTTATAATCATCCCAGATGGATGATATAAATATCAAAAATTAGTATTTACCGAGAACATTTTAGGCAAATGTTATCTTCTTTTGCAAACATCACTTTCCTGTTCCAAAATAGAGTACTACATTTTTTCTGCAGTTCTTCATTCCCTCTATTTAGGTTTCAAGTATTCTTGAGCAAACCCTTCAGTACTTGAAAACTAAACCTTATACTCAGTGACTTCGGTGATAGATGTTCTTTATGATGTATTAACTTAGCACAGTGCCTGTAATACTGAACATGGTGCCTGGTGCTTCATCAGCACTCAGTATATGTTGTTAAAAGAATAATGGATGGAGGATTGTTTTCATGGTCTATGTAGATCTAGAGAAGAAGTGACATTCGCCTCAGATTTTAGGAGATCTATCTACTGGACAACTATTTTATATGTCATCTCAGTTAAAAACATTTTTTTAACCATATAAAACTGTAGAATATGAATCCCAAGTGTGTTTTAACCAAATTCTTTGCATTTTTTGGTTTTTACTTTAGGTTAGTTTTGTCAGATGAGGAAGTGAGCTTGGGAAGTAAACCAGGTAAGATGGTAAATTCATTAAAATATGAAATGACCACATTTTAAATGTCAAAACAGTTTGTCACAACCTTTTAAAACAGATTGTATTAATATCCATTCAATTAGAAAACATGTTAAGTCATTTTATAAGTCTCTTCTGTACACTTTTGAGTTAGCTTCTTTTCCTCAGCTTTATTGAGTTATAATTGATGTATACCACGGTGTAAGTTTAAGGTGTATAGTGTGATTTGATAGATGGATGTATTTGAAATGATTATCACAATAAAATTAAAACATCCATCACCTCACATAATTACTATATATCTTGTGGAGGCAAGAACATACAACATTTATTCTCTTAGCAACTGTCAAGTATATTGTTAACTATAGTCCCCATGCTGTATTTTAGATCCCCAGAACTTAATTTTATAGCTGGAAGTTTGTACCCTTTGACCAAATTTCCCCATTTTCTCCACCTCCCAGACCTTAGTAACCACCAGTCTGCTCTATTTCCGAGTTTGACTTTTTAAGACCTCACATTTAAGTGAGATCATACAGTATTTGTCTTTCTCTAACTTACTTCACTTAGCTTAATGCCCTCCAGGTTCATCCATGTTATTGCAAATGGTAGGATTTGCTTATATTTTAAGACTAAATAACATTCAATTATATTCTATTGTATATGTACATATATAACATTTTCTTTATCCATTTATCTGTGATGGCCACTTAGGTTGTTTCCATGTCTTGGCTGTTGTAAATAATACTGCATTGAACATGGGGGTGCAGATACCTCTTCAAGATAGTAATTTCATTTCCTTTGTATATATAGCCAGATGTGGAATTGCTGGAACATATAGTATTTCTGTTTTTAACTTTCTGAGAAACTTCCATACTGCTTTTTGTAGTGGCTACACCAATTTACATTCCCACCAACAGTACACATCCTTTTTTCCACATCCTGTCCAACACTTGTTACCTCTTGTCTTTTTGATGACTGCCATTCTAAAAAGTGTGAGGTGATATTTCAATGTGGTTTGATTTGTATTTGCCTGATGAGTGAATAGTGTTGTTGAGCACCTTTTCATGTATGGTTGGCCATGTATATGTCTTCTTTGGTTGTAAAAATGTGTATCTAGGTTCTTTGCCCATTTTTTAAACAGACTGTTACTGTTTGTTTATTTTTGCTATTGAGTTTGAATTCCTTACATGTTTTGGATAGGAGCCCCTTATCAGATACATGGTTTGCAAATATTTTACTCATTCTGTAGGCAAATGTGATTGGGTTTTTGAATGTTGATTGTTTTGTTATGGTTATTTTTTGTGTTTTTGCTGTGCAGAAGATTTTTAGTTTGATATCATCTTTATTTTTGCTTTTGTTTCTTGTGCTTTTGGTGTCGCTTGCAAAAAATCATTGCCAGCACTAATGTCACAATGGTTTTCCCTAGTTTTTTTTTTTTTATATATTTTTAATTGAAAGATAGTTGACATACATTAGTTTCAAGTACACAACACAGTGATTTGACAATTATGTCCATTACAAAATGTTCACCATGTTAAGTGTAGTCACCTTCTGTCATCATACAAAGTTATTATAATATTATCTACTGTATTCCCTGTGCCGTACTTTCCATCCTTGTGACTTAGCTGTTTTATCACTAGAAGTGTGTACCTCTTAATCCCTGCTATCTATGTTGCCTATGCCTCCACCTCACTCTGCTCTGGCAGCCACTTGTTCTCTGTATTTATGTGTCTCTTTTTATTGTTGTTTGTTTTGTTTTGCTTTTTTTTTTTTTAGATTGCACATATAAGGGAAATCGTATGGTATTTATCTTTCTCTGTCTGACTTGTTTCACTTAGAATAATACCTTCTAGGCCCATGTATTGTCATGAATGGCAAGATTTCATTCTTTTTTATGGCTGGGAAATATTCCATTCTGTATGCTTATGTGAAATAATATCCTATTTTAAGCTGATAAGAACTTCAATACCATATAGAAACTCTATGCATTTCTCTCCCTCACCTTTTAGGTTACTAATATTATAATTTCCATCTTTTTCATTGTGTATCCAATAACAAATTATTATAGTTATAGTTATTTTTAAGGTTTATTTTTGACTTTTAAACTAGAGTTGAAAGGGGCACCTGGGTGGCTGGTCGGTTAAGTGTCTGACTTCCACTCAGGTCATGATCTCTTGGTCTGTGAGTTCGAACCCCATGTCGGCTCTGTGCTGACAGCTCAGAGCCTGGAGCCTGCTTTGGATTCTGTCTCCCTCTCTCTGCCCCTCCCCTACTCACACTTGTGCGTGCACACATGCTCTCCCTTCTCTCAAAAATAAATAGACATTAAAAAAAACAAACAAACTAGAGTTGAAAGTGATTTATGCACCAGTATTCCAATATTATAGAATGTGACTTTGATTATATATTTACCCTTTCCAACAAGTTGTATACGTTCATGCAGTTTTACAGGGTTTATTTAACATCCTCTCATTTCAGTTTGTAGACTATCCTTAGCCTTCCTTGTAAGGGAGGTCTAGTGGTGATGAACTTTCTCAGCTTCCATTTCTTTGGGAAGGGCTTTATCTCTCTTTCATTTCTGAAAGAGAGCTTTGCTGGGTATAGTGTGCTTTGCTGAGTTTTTCCTTTCAGTGTTTTGAATATATCCTACCACTCTCTCCTGACCTACAAAGTTTTCCCTCAAAATCTACTTACAGTCTTATAGGGGCTCCCTCATATGTGACAAGTCACTTATCTCTTGCTACTTTCAAAATTCTATCTTTGACTTTTGACAACATAATTATAATGGTTTGTTGTCTCTGACTAGGTGAAGCTGCTGTTCATGCTGAGGTGGGGGTGGCCCACTGGCTCTATTGTGTGTTTAAGCGGTGCTGTTGGCTGGTAGGGCTGTGCTCTGAGGTCAGGCAGGGTCACTAAGCAGGGTTTCACAGTCATCTCTGGTCAGGCAAGGTTACTGGGTATGCTCCTTGGCCAAATGGTGCCACTGCCCAGTCTCTTCATTCAGGCAGGGTTGCAGGCAGGGCTTCATGGTCTGATGTGGCCTCAGCCTGTGCTTTGTGATTAGGCAGGACTGCAGAGGCTCAGTTCTAAATAAGGCAGAATGGTGGCTGTGCTCTGCTGTTGGGCAAGATTGCTAGCCATGCTTCCTAGCTGGGCGGGCCTCATGCTGTACTCCACTGGGCAGGGCTTGAGGCTCTACTTCACAGAGGGTATGGTCACTGACTGGTCTTCCTGCCTGGGTGAGACTGCAGGCTGTACTCAACAATTGGGCATAGCCATCAGCTGGGCTTCAGTGCCAGGCAGAGCTATAGACTGGAGTTTGCTGCTAAGCAGTGCTGTAAGCTGGGCCGTGATGTTCCCCAGGGTTACCATTAGAGCTTGCTAGTGAGGTAGGCTGCAGGTTATGCTTCCAGCTTGGGGGGTGCTGCTGACTTGCTTCTCTGGGTGGGTGGGTGATAGGATATGCCCTGCAACTTCCCAGGGTCTCATTGCAGGCTTCCTGGTCATGTGGGACTGGAGGCTATGCTCAGCAGTGAGTTAGCTTTCTAGGAGTACCTAATCAGAGGGTCTACTTGTTTTCTTAAGGGAATTTTTATTTCCTCTAAGATAAGGACTTCTAATGTAGACATTTATTTCATAGTTGTATAATTAAGTTTCAAGCTCTTCCTCACATTTAAATTCATATTCTTTCTTTTTTTATAAATACATGTTATATATACAATCATATATATTCAATCAGTGTGGCTTTGGAGCCAGAAAAATCAGGGTTTGAGTGTCGGCTTTTTAAAACAGGTCATTTATACCTCATTTTTCTCATCTGAAACAGGAGTCATATACTCCTACCTTACAGAGACATTAGGGCTAGAGATAATATTTATAAACTACATAGCACAGGATAGGTGACAGTAAATATGAGAGGCACTTTTTTTTTTTTTATAAAGTAGGCTACATGTCCAGCACAGAGCCCAATGCAGGGCTTGAACTCATGACCCCAAGATCAAGACCTGAGCTGAGACCAAGAGTTTGACACTTAACTGACTGAGCCACCCAGGTGCTCCATGTGAGAGGCATTTTTAAGTGTACACATAAATACAGATCGTACTGAAAAACAATTTAAGAAGCCATAATAATTATGGAATTATATATTTAACATAGCTTCAAATGTATGTGCCAAAGGTTAGCTACTTCTGTATACATAATCCAGTACCCAGGTAGAGAACATTTTTTTTAAAGTTCCAAATGAAATATAATGGATATTGGTGTCGTTTTAACATTCATTTGTAGCATTATTTACTCTTTTAAAACCTGCTGTATCAGTAGTTATATCCACTTTTTAATTCCAAATGTTTATTTGTTCCTTTTCTTTTTTTCTTAATTAATTTTGCTAAAGGTTTATTTATTCTTTCAACAAATCAACTTTTGGTTTTGTTAATCCTGTCTATTGAATCTTTCTTTCTGTTTCGTTAATTTTAGTTCTTTATTATTTTCTTTTATTATTTTTTTTTTTGTGTTTTAAGGCTAAAATTTCCCTTTTTCTATATCCTACAAGTTTTTTTTTTAAAAAAACCTTATGAGGTATATTTTATATATCATAAAACTCATTCAGTTGTACACTTCAGTAATTTTTAGTTACTACTGAGTGTTTTAACCATCTCTATAAGTCAGTTTTAGAACCTTTTCATCCTCTCATTAATAAGATCCCTCACATTCATTTGCTGTAATACCCATTTTCATTCCTAGTCAACAACTAATCTACTTTCTCTCTGTATAAATTTGCCTTTTGTGGACATTTCATATTACTAGAATCATGTAATATGTATTTGACTTTCTTCACTTCATGTAACACTCTTGAAGTTCATCACTGACATAATTTGTGCTGGTATTTCCTTTTTATTGCTTAATCTATCGTATGGATGTCCATAAACTTTGATATATGGTATTTTCATTATCATTTGATTTAAATTGTTTTAAACTTTTCCTGATACCTTCTGTGATCTATG